ATCCAGGTTCGGACAAGATGTACTTGGATATTAAACAACATTATTGGTGGCCTAACATGAAGGTAGAAATTGCCACATATGTCAGCAAATGTCTCACTTGCGCCAAAGTAAAAGTGGAGTACCAGAAGCCCTCGGGGTTATTACAACAACCGGTGATCCCAAGTGGAAATGGGAAGGGATTTCCATGGATTTTGTGACCAAGCTACCCAAGACGTCAGACGGATTAGACACTATATGGGTAATAGTTGACCGATTGACGAAATCCGCCCATTTTCTGCCAATAAAAGAATCCTACAAGATGGAGAGACTGACACGATTATACATCCGAGAAATCATGAGACTTCATGGAGTACCAGTGTCTATCATCACAGATAGAGACAGTAGATTCACTTCACGTTTTTGACAATCACTTCAAAAAGCACTTGGAACCCATCTCGACATGAGCACCGCTTATCACCCACAAACGAGCGGTCAAAGCGAGCGAACCATCCAGACACTCGAAGACATGCTTGGTGCATGTGTGATAGACTTTGGGAAGTCTTGGGATACCCACTTACCCTTAGTTGAATTCTCGTATAACAACAGTTATCATTCGAGCATCAAAGTCGCTCCTTTCGAAGCACTATATGGATGTAAGTGTAGATCACCGTTGTGTTGGGTTGAGGTGGGCGAAACCCAGCTAGCAAAGAAGCTGGCATCGGACAAGATGTTAACGGGACCGTAGATCATTCGTGAAACCACAGAAAAAATAGTTCAAATCAGAGCTCGACTACAAGCATCGCGCGACCGACAAAAGAGCTACGCTGATAAACGGTGAAAGCCCTTAGAGTTTCAGGTTGGGGATCGAGTACTGTTAAAAGTTTCACCCTGGAAAGGGGTCATTCGTTTCAGAAAACAGGGAAAACTGAACCCACGATACATTGGACCATTCGAGATCGTTTCCTGAATAGTTCCAGTGACGTACAAACTGCAACTACCCGCTGAGCTCAACAGTGTACACCCCGTGTTCCATGTTTCCAATCTAAAGAAGTGCCCGTCAGATAAAACTCTCGTCATTCCCATTGACGAGATTTGAATCAACGAGAATCTCCTGTTCGTTGAGGAACCAGTCGAAATCATGGACAGGGAGGTGAAGCGTACTAAACAAAGTCGCATCCCGATCGTGAAGGTACAGTGGAATGCGAAGCGTGGACCAGAATTCACTTGGGAACGCGAAGACCAAATGAAGCAAAAGTACCCTCACCTATTCTAGCATTCTCAAATCTAGCTTTCAAAAGAATTTCGGGACGAAATTCCCTCTAACGGGGGGATGATGTCACAACTAGAAATTTTTGTGCCTTGTAACTACAACACTTAAGTCAAATTGTGAATCAAAGACATAAGAGCATGTATGATGCATACTCTATGACAACAAAATTACAAACAAACACCCCATGCAAACATTTCAAGTAGTCAACAAGCAATTGGAAACCCTAGGAGTTCTTGTTTAAGTCCGTTTTGGACTAGGACTTCCTTATTGGGCCCAATGGACCAATAATCTTCCAATTTGACTATCTTGGGTTTAGAACTCTTAAATAGGCTCGAATTGGACCCACTTCCATGTATTTCAATATTTTGGGCCATATTGGGCCTAAAATGAAATGAATTAATTACATGAACCATTTTGGGGCATAATTTACCTAATTTAGCCCTAATAGGTCATAAAAACTACACTTTGATTTATTTGGGTCAAGCATCATCTAGCTTAACTATAATATGGGCTTAAGGGCAAAAAGCCCAAAAATCTCCTCTTTCCCTCCCATTCTCGGCCCAAGCCCAAGGGAAGGAAGAGTTGACTTTGTGTGTACCACCTCACAATTATTCAAAGGACTTCCATGCAAGAGGACTCATACTTCAATGCACCATCCTTTCACACTTCTCTCTTCTCTCCTTTCTTCTTGATTCTCGGCTGAACCCAAAACACACACACACACACACTTCACTCAACTCTCTCAAAATAAACTCTCTCCACTCCTCTCCAAGTGTTCGAAAATTAGGAAGCTTCAAGGAGATTATTCCCACAAACACATCATCTAAGGTAAGTTGATGTTAGATCCATAAGCTAGTTATTTCATTCCATTCAAGAATCACCTCTTAATCCATTCAAACTTATGATTTAGCACCTTAGAAGCATCCAAGTTCGAAATCTTCCAAGGAAGGTAGCTAAGGCCGAATTTCTTCTCATTTTTCCTTCCAAAACCGAAACCACACCCAAGGTGAGCTTCATACCCCCTATTTTTCTGTTTTTATAAGTTTTTGTGGGGGAGAATACAAGCAAATGTGTAGATCTATGAGTTTATGTATGCCTTGTGTGATTTTTATGCTTGTATGTATGATTTTATGTGTTATGTGATGAATATGTTAGCAAAAAATACCTAAAAACCGAGATCTACCACATGAGGAGTGAAACAAACATAACTTATACCATTTTACACTAATCAAGTCAATAAAAATAATTTATTTGGTTAGGATGAACATTTTTGGACATAAAACCCATTTTTGGGCTCAAATTGTCAAAAATACAAAAGCTAAGGGTCCAAAAAGACAAATGATAATTTCTGGAGGTTGGAAAGAGTCCAAACAGTTTCTAATAAAATTTTTCTGAAAATCAACACTTTTGAGGGGCTTAAAATGTAAATTTTGAACCTAATGGGCTAAAAATGGGCTTTTCGGCCCAATAAGCCCCAAATTGCAAAAATTCTGAAATAGAGGGGCTGAAACTGCAAATTTCTATAAAACAGGGGACTACTAGTGTAATAAAACTAATTCAAGGGTCAAAATGTTTTCAAAGTCAAAAGAGATCAAAAATGCAAAAATTTTCCATTTTGGGCCAAAACTGTAAAGTTGCGAAAATAAGGGTTCCAACCGAGAGAAAATCATTTTTGAAGGACTTAAGCTGTTTATCAAGTAAATCTAGGCTGAAAATGTCTTTTTAATAAGTTTTGATACTAAAGTGTCAAGAAAAATGGTTTAAGTACTAAAATGAAAATTCTTTTATATAAAGGGTTAAAAGTGTAAATTTTATCCAAGAAGGGTCATAAAAAGGTAAATTCTTATTTATTTTATAAAAAAAAAAAAAAACAATAAATCCCTTAAGATAAAATACGAGTACCACGACTACCGGCGAAACGTAATAACAAATACGCTTTCAACACCAATATCGTTATCAAACGAATTGATTCGGTCTCGAATCAATAACGAATCAAAAATCAATAAACAATAAGTACATCAATAAACACGCGAAATTCACGAGAAGTCAATATTCAATCTTTGGGCTTGAAAGTTTCAAATCGTGCTTGTTGGGCCTAGTTAGCCCAATAACATGATCTTTGGGCCTGAAGGGAACGCGCTTACATGTTATTGGGCCTTCTATGACCTAATTCCATGTAAAAGGACTTTCAATAGCTTTATCGTGCTGTTGGGCCCCAAGGGCCCATTGGTACTGCTAGCAAAGTCGAGAAGTAAAATGCGAGTTGGGCCTAGTGCCTTCCGCATTCACGATAGCCTTGAACGACTTATGAAAATAACGAGGGCTTCGTACCCTCTTTTCTCCTCAGTTGTTGGGCTATAAGAAGTCAGGGTGGTTGGATTAAGTGAGCCTTACGGACGACGCCAAAAGGATCGTTTGTAATTGGTAGTTATAAACTAGTCATTTTCGTTAATGCGTGATTATAACAACTCACAACCCATAATTAATCCAATGTTACCTGGAATTATCGGAAACAATCGTCGAATCGGTATAACAATAAACAAGATATGAAATTTTAATGTACGAGGAAAACATCGGGTTTTCCCGGGAAGTTCAACAATTTTATCTATGTGATGTATACAAGGTTTAACAATTATACACGTTTACAAAAATCGACAAACATACTACGGATCTCCACACTTTTTATAAACAATACTCTTTTCAGGAAATATCGGATTTTCTGAGTTTTCAAACTGCACAAAAATCATTATTTTTCAAACATGACTTATGAACTTACCAACATTTCATATGTTGACGTTTTCCAAAATACTTGTATTCTCAGGTAACATGTAAATTGAAGAATATGTATCCAGTGATGTCACGGTGTTTTGTTTAAATTAGCATCGAACGGTTTAAGTTATGGAAATGTAATGTTTAAAACAATGTAGTGAATGTAAACAATATCAGTTGTAATGTTTCAATGTTTGGTGATGAATGATGTTATGATTCATGTATAATCATTGTGATGGTATTCAATTGAGTCACAATAGCCCTCGGATGTTTCCGCCATCTGGTTCGGGGGTGTGACACCCACTAAGTTTCGTGCTTACGGTTTTCAGTTTTGGTTTCTGGAACTTTCAGTTTCAAAGAGAAGAGTTTGGGATGACTGCATTGCACACACCATGATATTTAGTCTGGGATGTTTACTTTGATGTTTTGATTTGGAAATTCTGAAAATAATGTTTTGAAATACTTTGACTTATGTTTTGATGGAATGGGTTGATAACTATGATTTTATTTAATGGTTTAAAACAAAATTTTTGGACCGTATTTTTAGGATGTTTTATATAAAGAAATGTTGTACCTTAAATTCATTTATAAACTTATAAAATTAAGTAGCTTGTATCATTTCATATGTTTTCTTTAACATTTATCAAAATATTCTATTGGTTTTATAGATATAACAAAAGAATAAACTAGAAAATATACCAGTAAAAAATTTTAATTTTTTTTAGTGTAATGGGGTAATATGTTGCGTTGTTTTGAATAATGCCCTTATTTTATAAAGACAGACGTATTTTTTTTTCAAAAGGATGTAGTTTCTATCAAATAAGTTTAAGGATATTTGTTATCTTATTATGACCAACTATCTAATTCTATCATTTCAGTTTTGTTTTGACTATGACTAGTAACAGTTGTTATAAAAAAAATAGTGAAGTTTTAAAATGATAAAAAAAAAAAAAAAAAAAAAAAACAAAATTGTTACATGTAAATGGTTATATGTGAAATCCCTATTTCACCCCTAAGCTTAATTACACCCAATTTCAAGGGAGTCGACCCTCCAAAACATCCAACCCACTTCTACCTCGACAAAACGGAAATCTTCACTTCACTTCTCTCCGCCTGTCACCGGCAATCTTCCAAGTCAATTCAGGTACCTCTCTTTCCATTTTTATCTTCCAATTGACATTCTATGAAAATGAGCGGCAAACGACTTCACAAAAAGTTCTATATACGTGCTTAACTACGTCCCATGGATCAAAATCATGGCTGTAACCAGTAAAAATTCGCAATTGATGAAGGGGTATTTGTAGCTTCAAGATTTGTTTAAGATGGAAACGTTATGACGTCAATCTAAAATGTTATTTTATTGGGATTGAAAGAGTAGACGTTATATCTACAGAAAATTGTAGACATATATGCGCGTAGAGATCTTTGACGAGGCACATTTTGCTAATTATAGATGAAAAGATGCTACAAACGCCTGTGTTTGATCTTTGTATTTGTGAAATTCTTCATTTGGTGGGTTTATTTGTTTTGAGCAATAACGCAGGATGAAAATTTAAATGAAGTGTTAAGCACACCAGTTGTTCGATGAAATGCCTTGTTATTGAAACTTCTAAACCTCTGTGAATACCCTGTTGTGGAGTGCATATTATGCATAAATAAACTACATCTAATAGATCTTAGTGGCATCTTTCTTTCTAATTTTCAATAAACACTCTAATGTTTCAAGAACTCCATTAGTTTTGAATAGAGGCTCCACACTCCTGCATAAATATTTTGCTATCATTGTCTCATATTTTGCACTTGCTTTTCTTAGCAAGTTTGAAGCTTTAATCACTTATTTTCCTTATTGCCATTGTTATAATTTGTGAATAGTTTTTATCTTTCTTCAACTATTGCCTCTTTCTTGTTCTTATATATCTAACAAAATCTAGTTTCTAATACACATTTGTTCAACAACCCTGTAGGTCATTGGCTTCATTTTGTACAAATACACACATGATCTAACATACAAAGATTTTCCATTTTCTCCCTCAAATTCATCTCCCCTCGTAGAATGGTTTGTAAATTATCAACAAAGCTGATGAATATCTGTGTAGCTTCATTTTGTAAACTCCAACAATTGGAAAAAGCCGAATCAATCATCATCGATGCCATAAGGTTAGGAACACTACCCGATGTTGTCACATACAACACATTAGTCTCTGCATATTGTCATTTTGTTGATCTTGATTCTGGATACTTAATCCTAAATAGAATGAAAGAAGCCAAAATACACCCAAATGTAATAACTTACAATTCTTTACTTTCGGGTGCTTCAAAACATTCATTACATTCAAAATGCATAGAATTATTCAACGAAATGGGAACAATGGGAATTCAACCCGATGTTTGGAGTTACAACATTCTAATACAATGCTACTTTAGATTAGGAAAACCAGAAGAAGCCAACATGATATTCCATAGTTTCAAATCCCAAAACCTTTCCCCTTGTTCAACCACATTCAACACAATGTTCAACGGTTTCTTCAAAACCGGATACACACACCACGCGTTATCCCTATTCCGGAGTTCACAACGGAATGGAATCTTCACTCCGGAGTTACTCACATACAACATATTAATCAATGGATTATGTAAATCCGGATGGATACGTGCAGCAAGAATGATCCTCAAAGAGCTTAAAGAATCCGGACTTAAACCCAATGCAATCACCTACACTACAATAATGAAACACTGCTTCAAATCAAGAAAATTCCAAGAAGGAATTGAAGTATTCAATGAAATGAAAAACAACGGATACACATACGATGCTTTCTCTTATTCCACACTCAGTAGTGCTTTTGCTAAAAAGGGTAGATTAGAAGAAGCATATAGAATCTTTAAGTTAATGACCGAAAAGGGTATCGAAAAAGATCTTGTGTCATACAATATTTTGGTTAACATGTATTGCATAGAGGGAAAGATAGATAAAGCTAATGACTTGTTGTCTGAAATTCAAGAATTTGGATTACAATGTGACCAATATACCCATACTACGTTTCTTGATGGGCTTTGTAGATCAGGGGAAATCGATAGAGCTTTGGATTACTTAAAATATATGGATACATTAGGGTTTGATTCGAATTTAGTTGCGTATAATTGTATGGTGGATAGGTTATGTAAAGTGGGGTGTAGTAATGATGCTTTGAGGATTTTTGAAAGAATGGAGGTTAAAGATTGTATAACTTATACTTCCATGGTGCATAATCTTTGTAAAGAAAGGAAATTTTTAACTGCTTCAAAGGTTTTGTTGGCTTGTTTGAATAGAGGAATGAAGGTGTTGAGAGGTACTCAAAGGGTTGTTGTGAAAGGTCTTCATTCTTTAGGGTTATATTCGGAAGCAAGAAAAGTTCAGTTGAAAATTCGATTATCAAGATTTGAGAATTAATCGAACGATTAATTGTGAAAATGAGAAAATTACAGAGTGAATGGTTCAGAACTTCAGATTTGTTGACTGCTTAATGGAAGTTGTTTGAGGTAAAGCGTATAATTATTGAGATGATTTGATGTGATAACTGATAAAGAATTAAAGATGAAGTCTAATCCAATATTTGATTAATTACAGTTTTGCCATTTTGTTTCAGGTATTTATTCCATTGAGTGGCTGGCTAGGTGGTGGGCCCACAAAGAGCATTAAAAGTCCAACACTGTATTCTGCTGAGACTCGAACCCTTGACCATTTTTGCAAGTAAAATCAAATTGGGGCTATGGTTTAGTGTTCTTTTTGAAGTCTTGTGGAAGTGATTTTTAATCAAATTGGGTGAGGGTTGGATCTGCTAAATGAGAATTTTTAGGGAAAGATAATGTAACAATGATCTTACATATAATATATATACTTTTCAAATCATATTGTGCAAAGTTAGAACTTAATAGGGAAAGTCTTCTTTTTCATAGTTTCTCTAATAAGTTATTTGTTCTCTATTAGGCACAAATGAAACACTTGTAGATATCTCGGGGATTTATTTTAAATGGAAACAACACCCTATGCATTCAAAGATGTTTACTTTAAGATTGTTTCTCCTACTAATTGGTTATTAAATCTGTTTTGTTAATAATTCATACACACTTATATGTTTTAATCATTTATCTCTTAAGGGTTAATTACGTATAAGACGAAGCATTTTTCATTTTTATGGTTTAAACCTAAACTTTCATTTTTTCTAAAAAAAAAAAAATAATCCTTGAGAAGTACTTTTTTGGTTTCACAAATTTAGTCGGTTTTTAGGTTAACTCCCGATTTGGCTTTATATTTATTCTACAAAAGACCTACATTTTGACATTTTTTCGTTTTAAACCTAGCCTCTATTCTTTTATGATTTGATAATGAGTTTATGTTGATTATGATTCTTTGATGATTTAGTGAGTTTGTGGGGGTTATGACGACAATTATGATGCTTTCATATGTGTGATAATTATGTGGTCCAAACATTTTATGAGGTTTTTGAGGCTTATCGTTCATGCACTTTGTATTTATTTTTAGGTATGTTTCATCCCTCATATCTCTTGCATTGATTGCATGATCCATACACATTACGAGGTTTTTGGGGTTTATCGAGGGCGTTGACAATTAAAAATAAGTTTTTGCTAGCGATATGTTACATAATGGGTGAAAAACCGATTCATAGACATGCAAGCATATGAGGCATGAAGCAAAAGCCCAAGGTACATGTGTGATGAAGCAGACTCCTTGCATTAATATGAACAAGTTTGTGTATGTGGATGCTTTGGATGATTCATCCTTATATAAGAAGTCAATAAGTTCACATTATGAAGAACATCTTGTTTTCTTCTTTAACTTCTTTTAAAGCAAAAGTTTTACTTTGATTACCCAAAAAAATGTTGCCTCTATGCACATGAATCTTTTAAATTGTTCTAAATTTGTTTATTCCATTCATCAAATGTGTTGAGAGAGACAATGTTATGTATTTCATCATTTTTTGTTTACACTTTTGTTTATTTTTCTATCCCAAAGGTCATTTAGAGTATCTCCAATCCACTCTTATTTTTCAACTTTTCTCCAATTTCTCTTCAACCCTACCCCATTTATTCCTTTATTTGGGAGAAATAAATAGTATAACACCAAATACCCCAAAATGGAGATAAACTTTGAGTTGTTAGTTTTAGTCCTTCTTTTTATATGTTTATACATTATTAGTTTATTTTATCTACTAATTATAATTTAAATGTATTATTTAATACTTATAATATTGTATTATGTATTAAATTATATTAATTAATTATAAATATAAAGTTTATTTTTTGTTTATCAAATTCATATGAAAATTTAAGTACATATTGAAATTTTAAAATACGATAACGTATTTTACAAAAACTTATAATTCTGTGTTATAAATATAATCTTATTTATTTAAATAGTATCGTAATGAAAAAAATATAGATTATATATTTGTTAAAACCAAATTAGTAGAAAGGGTATAATTGACAATCTATATAAGTTGAAAAAATGAAATATACTAGGAATATTCTATTTGGGAGTAAAAATTGGGTAAAAAATGAAATAGGGTTGGAGATGACTATTTACCCCATTTTTTACACCATTTTTGGAGGAAAAAATGAGAATGAGTTATAGATGGTCTTAGTAGAAGAACCACCATTTATAATAATTATTTTTTGTTACCACAATAACAACCTAGTGATTGATATGTTGTGGAATTTCATACAACACGTTAATGATTCAAACCATGACACATCTATAATATATTTAGTGTTTTATAATTGACTTTCTATGTGGATCTTGAAAAAGATTGATGTGGGTCACTTAAATGATACAGTTAACCATTTTTAAAAATATATTATTTTTTTGAAGTGTAAGATTAAATTTTTTGTATTTTTTTTTTTCGAAATACAAATTAATTGTTATAGATGTAATATATTTTATTTAATAAATGTTGTTTTGATAAATCATAATTAATTCGAAAAAATTATATACAAATAATGTATTTTGTTTTAATTTGATGATTATATACTTTTTTTTAAGGGGATGGCACTTTCGATAATTGATAAAGTTACTTTTAGTAAAAAGATGTAATTCATATTTGTTAAAAGTTAATTAACATAATTAGTGTTATGATAATCCATAAGTTACATTCTTTTTTTTTTTTGTGAATACTTTTTTTTTATTTTTTTTGTATATAAAAAGATAAAATATTATTTACAATATTTTTCTTTTACACAAAGCGTCACCTTCCGACTAATTTGCCTTCACCTCCTTTCCTTCTCCCGTTCACGTTCGTTCCCGGTAATCTCTCCAATCAAATCAGGTACCTCTCTCTCTCTCTCTCTCTCTCTCTCTCTCTCTCTCTCTCAAGTTCAATGCAAACTTCAGCTGTTGATTTCATGTGTTTTGGGATCAAATTGATATCTTTACTAGTTCGTAGGACAACTATGTCAAGTTTTATTTTTGAGCTTCAGAACTTGGTAAAACGAGAACCTTGTGATTGTAAGCGATGTTTTAAGTCGAAAACTGTAACGAAATTTTATGGGAAGGAAAGATTATATGTTATATTTGTAGGAATTCTGTGTCGAGATCTCTGGTGATGCCTATTCATTAATGGAATTCTTGAATTAATAAAAAGATTTGTTTTTGGTCTTATCTGTTTATTCATGACTTGCATTGGTAAAATTACTAATTCGGTTGGAATATTTGTTGAGTTGTTGATGAGAATTAGATAATTTTGAAGAAAGTGAGGACGAACACCAGGTGTTTGATAATATGCCTACTTGAAATTAGTGGGTATTTGTAACTGGAAATTAGGAGATCTTTAAGTTCATTGTCCAGCAACTAACTGAGTTATGCAAACTCATTTCTTCTATGATAACTATATTGTTAAGTATTCATAATCCTCTTTAACTTCCTTCTAATAATCATTTTCAGTTTTCTCAAGGTAATATGCATAAACAACATGGTCACTCATGAGAGCATCCATGTTTCATCTCTACTTAATCCGCTACAATTGCAGAAGGTTTTCTCTTTCAGACATTTTCCCTAAAATACCCTCAAATATCCATCTCAAATTTCTCTCCAGTAGCATAAATCCAAGAACACTTCCATGGGAAGGATCTTCCCATGACATTCTACTCAAAAACCTTGAAACTTTTGTAAAAAACCATCAAGTAAATGAAGCATGGGAAGCTTACACAGATTTCAAAAAACTTCACGGTTTACCAGACACCCGTTTACTAACCAAATTCATAACCGAATTATCCTACTCAAATGAACCCAAATGGCTTCAAAGAGCATGCGATATAACCCTTTCTCTCTCCAAAGAAAAGTTAAACTTGCTTCACATTGACCACCTTCACAACCTCTCACTCTCCTTAGCAAGAGCACAAATGCCAATTCCTGCATCCAAGATTCTTAGAACAATAATTGAGAAAAATATCATTCCATCAAACAACTTATTAGGGTCAATCACTCTTCATTTGGTCAAAAAAGAAATCGGTACGTATCTTGCATCAAATATCTTGATTCAAATTTGTGACCATTTTCTTCATTTGGGTTCTAACAAACCGATTAAACCCGATATTGTAATTTTCAACCTTGTTCTTGATGCTTGCTCAAGTTATAACTTATCTTTCAAAGCTCATCAAATCATAGAGTTAATGGCACAAGTGGGAGTAGTAGGTGATGCGTATACCATCATAACTATTGCAAGAATCCATGTGATTAATGGTCAAAGAGATGAGTTAAAGAAATTCAAAGATTGTGTTGATGAGGTGGCGGGTTTTTTGGGTCATCATTATTTTCAATTTTATGATAGTCTTATGAGTTTACATTTCAAGTTTAATGACATTGATTCGGCTTCTGAACTCATATTGGACATGATAAGTCGCAAAAAAGTTATTCCCTATTTAACAGAAAAGAAGCCTTTTGTTATCCCAATTGGATCTCAGAATCTTAAAATGGGATTAAAACTACGGGTTTTACCTCATTTGGTAGATGAAAATCTAATGAAACAAGAAAGAAACGAGGGGCTTGTTATGTATAGAAGTGGAAAGTTTGTTATTTCCAATAATGCCCTTGGAAAGCTCATTGTAGGGTATAAGCAACAAGGGAGGATTAGTGAGTTATCGAATCTTTTATGGCGAATACAAAAGGAAAATGTTTTATTAGAAATGAAAGATTTGATTTCTAATGTTGTTGAAGCGTGTATTCATGTGGGGTGGCTTGAAATTGCTCATGACATTTTAGATGATATTGAACGAAAAGGCAACGTTATTTTCTCTAATTCATATGCATTGTTATTAAAAGCTTATTGTGAAAGTAACAAGCATAGGGAAGCCGAAGGGCTTTTGAAACAAGTCAAGAGACTCGGTATAATATTATCTGATAAAAGTACAAGGGTCCCACAAATATCTGAGGCCTCCCTTATGGATTCTCACATTTTTACTGCTAGTAGAAGATCGGATTTGGCTAAATGTATAGTTCAAGAAACAAAAGAAGGGGAAAAAGATTGTTCGATTTACAAATTCAATTCCTCGATTTACTTCTTCACAAAGGCTAAAATGATTGAAGATGCTTTGAAAACATATAAAAGTATGCAAGAAAAGAAAGTGTATCCTAATGTGGCAACATATATATACATGGTGATGGGGTATTCTTCTTTAGAAATGTATCGTGAGATTACTATTTTATGGGGTGACATAAAGAGGAGTTGTGATGATGGAAATGTGACGATTAATAGAGATTTGTATGAGGTTTTGGTTTTGAATTTTTTAAAAGGAGGTTATTTTGAGAGGGTGATGGAGGTCATTGGGTGTATGAAGAGGCATGGTATGTATCTTGATAAGTGGTTGTATAGAAGTGAGTTTTTGAAATTGCATAAGGGTCTTTATAGAAGAATGAAACTATCGGATGCTAGATCTGAGGCTCAAGGAAAAAGGCTTGGACATGTGAAGGCTTTTAGAAAGTGGGTTGGCATTGATTGATGTATGTATCATGATTCATGATAAGTTGTATTAAGTGTTTCTTTTTGACTTAATGCAGAAAGAATGACTCAATCGATAGAAGAACTCGGTTGAGTTTCATCATTCTTGTATGTGCCTTTTCTTCTTGAACAATGTTGGTGTTTAATTGATTATTTGTTGTATGCGTTTATTGCTTGTGAATATATCTATGTTCATGATTCTTCTTCTAAGTAGACAATAAACATAATCTCTTGAAGAGGCTAGCGTGTTGTTTCTTTTTTACTTAATGAACTTAAAAAAGACATAATTTAATTTAATAAGCTAGCTATATGCATGTGTTTTTTTTTTCAATTAATATAGAAAGAAACCACTTAACTAAGAAAGTTAGAGAAATAAGGTTTTCCCTGTTAACTCATATTTAGTGATGAAGGCTCGAACATGGCTTGAGAATGTAGTGAGCTCTACTCGAGAGCTTGAATACCTAAAAAAGTATAAATCAAAATTATGTTTGATGTAGCAAGTTTGATGTTAAAGCTTAAAGAACTTACAAACAATTAATAAAAATTGTTCAAATAAAGCGAGTTGAATCAACTTTGATCCAAACATATTAATACATACCAGTTCAAATCTTGATGAGAATTCAAGTCAAACTCTTTATAAAGCTCCAACTTGACTTGTCATGTGTTCTTCGGAAGTTTTAATACTTAAATTTAAAATTATACTTTTATTAAAAATTATTGTCAGAAATTTAAATCTATTTACATGGCAAAAACTAAAAGTTTTAAAGAAAGTTTAAATTTATTTAAAATTTCATGTCAAAGAGGAAAGTTTAAATTTATTAAAAAATTTCATGTCAAAGACTAAATTATACTTGATGTACGACGTGGCATATAACATACAACTAATGCCCTACGATTTTGACCAAAGGTCATCCGTTATGTCCACCACATACCATATATGTGGTGGGTGCCACATCAGCACCACATTTCCCTACCACTAACATGGGATACCTACCACTAACACACCACTCCACATCATTATTTTTTATTTTTTTAAATAAAAAATACAATAAAATAAGGCAAGTTTTGTTAATATGGGTAAATCTAAGGACTGAAATTGGCAATTTCTGAAAGTTTTGATCATCTCTTTCCCTTAAATAACAGACATGCCTTGTTCCTCCTCTTTCCCTACTAGACGTTTACTTTCGTTGACTGCACCACGAGTGAGCACGACCACGGCCGACCATGAAAGATCGGGATGGTGTGCACGATGAACTTCCATGGCCACGTAGACCACGACCTTGCTCGTGCTCGGTATACCAAATGGTCTAAGATTTTATGATGTTTTGCATCCGGAATATATAGTGGGATATCTCTGGTGCATGAGATTTTCCAACCTGTACCCCAATAATGGGATATCTTTGGTGCTAGCTTCCTTCGTATGGTTTTGTAGATCTTATGCTTCTACGTTATGATTTATAGGGGGCCAAGCGACTCTATAGGTTGAAATGAATTTAAGCCAATAGGTGGCTAAGAGACGTTATAGGTTTAAATGAGTTTAATTGATTATTTAAATGGTGTTTTAGTGGATGACACAAAGTTAAATACTTATGTTGATTTCTCATTTGACATAGAGGTGACTATATAGTATTTTGAACAAATATTCCTATCTAACGTTGTATGGTACTTCCATGTGCTTTTCAGTGTTACCTATTATGTATATTATTTGTCTTTATATGTACCTAGGTGTACACTTTTACAAGTAAAAAGGTTTTATGATAGGATGCCACACTTTTACAAGTAAAAAGGTTTTATGATAGGACGCCTTTCGAAAGATTTCAATTGTTTTAGATACATTTAATATTTTATCTCCTCCTCCTCAAGAGACAACGTAAAGGGTGTGGCAGTCGATCACATCACAGGAAGGGGTGTCAAACGTTGACACGACATAAAACAAAATTAGGAAAAAATGCCTTCCTGCTCTTGTTAAAATTCCAGTTGCTACTTAACCTCACTCAAACATCAATGATATAAAAGGTGGAAACCCACAAAGGAAGGGAAAGTGACTTAAAAGTCCAACGAAGTTTCCAAACCATTCAAAAAACATCAATCATGTTTTTTCTATTCAAAAAAACCTAACGAACTTAACATTTTGTCTAAAAAGTCCAACAAAGTTCCATAACATTCAAAAATCCCAATTTTATTTTGTTTAAGTTCATTGGGTTTTTTTTTTTGAACAATTAAAACATGATTGGAGTTTTTTAAACATTTTGGAAACTTCGTTGGTCTAACAAGTCATTTTCCCGATACGGTAATAATGTTGGATTAGTGTCTAAGTCCATAACTATTTTGGTATGTACTTGACCCGATTATGAGCATGGTCCTTTTGGGTTGCCTTCACCATAGCAATATGTAGGATGATTTAAGGAGAGAAAGGTTTAAAAATGATTTATTAATATATTATGAGAATAATATATTAAAGGAGAAATCATATTGTTTAATTAATATTAGTTAATAATTAATTAAGAATTAATTTTGTGACTAAAAGAGATTAATTAAATATAGGGAACTGGACTGCAATTATTGGATAATTGAGTTATTGGGCTAAGGAATGCTAAAGGAATAAGGGGTGAACGAAATTATGATGGAAGCCCATCATATTTTCGTCTATAGCCTTGTCCAGAAGGTTCCATGGGCTGCTTAGAGTTTAAGCTGTCCATTAGGGTTTTGACTGAAACCCTAGCAGCCCACACAAGTATATAAAGGACCCCTTAGGCCCCAAAAACGTGGACAATTGATTCTCTAGGGTTTCTAGTCGTTTTTGGGCAGCCTCTCTTCTTCTCTTCTTCATCCAAGTTGCATATGGTGTTTGTGACTCCATTAGAGGTACTACACTTGTGGTACTTGCTTTCAAGAGCTAAGGAAATTCAAGGAACTAGTTGTTATTGCTATATAACAACAAAAGGTATGTATTCTAGCTTTATATATGAATTTCGAAAATTATAGTAGCATGCCAGGTTTCTTTTTGTGTTCATAAAGTTGTATAACTAATAGTGAAAACATAGATCCAATACTAGGGTTGCATGCACACATAGGATTGTTTGTATAAGACCCATCAGTGGTATCAGAGCCATTGGTTTTTGTTTTCAATTAGCTTTTATTCAAATTTGTGAACTTGACATATTAGGGTTTATGGCTAATAAACCCTAAAGGCTAGGTAATTTTCGCAATTAGGGTTGCAAAACCCTAGATGGCGATTTTTGCTAGGGTTTCCCAAATCCTTTCCTTAGCCTCCAAGATTTTGAAATCTAGGGTTATCCAACCCTTGGATTTCGAAATTACCTCCTTCCCCAAGGTTAGATCCTAAATTTTAGGGATTTGGATAATCACATATCTTGTAATTATCTTTTAATTGTTAAATATGGTAATTAAAGATCTTGAATTATCCCATCCCTTATTTTCGAGATTTAGAGAGGGATTCAAGGGATTATGATATCTTAGATGTATAATTGGTAATTATCCTCATGATCTAGATAATCCCTTGTGATTTAATAATTTAAATTAATTGTTTAATTTATGGTAATTATTAAATCAAGAGTTTTAATATTTAAAATTTTAATTTAAATGTCTTAAATTCGAAAATTTTAAGTGAGATTAAAACCTAATTGTTTTGAAGAGTTTCAAAACTTGCCCTCAAGTTTTGGAATTTAAATTGTTGATTAAAAGTTAATTTTGAAAGTCTAAATCCAAAACCCTGATTTTGAAAAGTTCAAATTAAACCCTTATGGTTTTATTAAATTAATTAAGTGTATAATTAAAAGAGATTTAATAAATCCATAATGATTTTGGTTAATTAAAAGTATAATTTAAACCACCTAGTATTTTAAAAGTGTAAAATACACCCTTATACTATATATAACATTAAAAGTTTAATATTATATATGTATAACTAAAATTCAGTCTTACCGTTAGTAGGCCTCATTCACGAAGCTAGTCTATAAGGGGTGTTTAAGGAAATTGCCTATAAAATGGCGATTGAATGGGTATCCACTCTTACCCACCGCACTCTTGACTAGTGGAGGGTCGTTAGCCGAACGGGTAGGATAGGACAGAAACCTTCCATTATAAGTATAATGAAGTACAAAGTAACTAAATGCTTTTTCAAATTCCCAAATCATAGTTACTTTAGGCAAAATGTGAAATTGTATGCTAACCCATGGAATTACACTTCGTACCCTTGTCAAACGTTAGTGGAGCGTGTGTGGTTAACCGGCACACTAATTTGGGGATGACATTGGTGGCAAAGGGTGGCTCGATGCTATCATAGATCAATGGAGCGTGTGTGGCTAACCGGCACATTGATTAGGTGATAGTAGCATTGGGTGCACCACGTGATTCGTATGGTTATTTACACCTTGTTTGTGATCCTCGGCATCCCAGTCACGAATAGTAGGGCATAATCGAGATTAAACATGCCATTGAAGAGTTCAATGAGTCTCAAAAGATCTAGGAGTTTCAATTCATTTAAAACTTAAACTTCTTTTTCGTTTTTCATGGTGGAAATTGGTAAATCGTCATTTACCTACCTTCAAATATTCTGCAACTAGATTACGGCATCCCTCTTCTAGGTTGTAGAGTATTGTGTTGGATCCTAGCTTGATGTTTCATTTGGGTGTTGCATCAAGAATTCTAATCAACTTAACTTGAATTTTCTCCCGTTTTGTAGATGTCTGAATCTTACAATGGTCTTCCCAAATCCTTTGGAACAAGCTTTCCAAATGAAGATGACGTTCCGAGATACGATCAAGGAAATAAGAGTCATGCTTCACTTCCTCCACCTCCTCCAATTATTCTCCCTGACCCACAAGTTCAAAGCTTGAAAAGTTCAAGCTCACTCAAGCCCTTTTGGCAAGTAAACACGAAGATGGGAAACCTGTGTGTGCGCACGTCTTAGAGATGAAGTCATACATTGATAGGTTAAACATGTTGGGTGTCGAGATTTCAAGTGAGTTGGCTGTTGAC